TGTATGAATAAGACAAATTGCATGCAATCGTCTTAGTGCTACTAAAAAAAACGTCCTCATATGATTTAGTAAATCTGAGTTGGATCCACAGAACTCGTCTTGATGTAATTATTGGAAAAATAGCCATCAGAGAAAATTCATTCACAAAATATAAGGGACTTTTTAAGTGATGGAAACGAATGCCTAAAATAGGCATTTGAAAGCAATCCGGAAAGGAAATGGTGAAAAGTGAGAAATTCGAACCCAGCACGTCTACGAGCATTCGCCGAAGTATTGAAATCGCATGAAGAACGGTCACGAGTCGCTTCAACTCGTTCAATTTGCGTTTTTAATGAAAGAATCTCATCATCACTTATTTTCTGGATTCGTACCATCTTCTGATACATGCGCTCAAGATCCGCAGCGGTAAATGATGTTCTAAAGAAAAGAGAAAAACCATTAGTAACAGTGCTTGATGGCAACAGTTTCATGTTTGTTTTGAATGATGAATTCATGGCTACGGAACGTTATCATTTGTTCTTTTGTTTTACCAAATTCTCAAATGTTTCAGATAACTTTATCGTTCGCTGAATAAAGCCTTAATTTAGATGAACTCACTTCGAAAAACTGCAACTCTCTTTCGCAGTCCATTTTCCAATCAACGTATACATCTTGTTCGCAAATGATGCGTAGTCCGTTAATCTGCCTTGCATATCGACTAACTCGTTACCACCCAACAAAGTCATCGTACTCACATTCTAAAAAATCCCAAAATAACAATTTCTCTCGTTGCACTTATTAATAAATCAGCTCACATAACATAAATTCGAATTAATCGCTATGAGAATTCCCACTCCTATACGTTCCACTACCGTTCAGATGTGATGAACCTCTTCTGATGGATAATTTAATCAATCATTTTGGAACGCATTGGTAATTAATAAGAGACCTTAAATTTGAGATATGGACGAACATCTCAAATTTAATGTCTCTTGTTAATATCTCAAATCTTTCGAACATAATACTTTGCTCATGTATCAACTAAATTACACCGAGAACACATCAAACTGCCAACAGCACAACGAATGCGATAACAATCTCTGTATGTTTTACCAGTTTGCGCACATTTTGTGCAATTGCATCATTCGGTTCGTTCACCCCCTTTTGCAATCTGTTGATGGCTTGACACATCAACTGCAACTGAACCACAGCAACAATTAATACTCTCAACATTCCGCAGTCAACCAACAAAAACATAAAAACACTGCCGATAGCGTCGATACAAAAAAATAGTACAAAAAAAAATCAATTCAATAGAAACAACAGAGAGTGAGCACTAACATTCTTTTCGGCCGTCTCGTTTTTGAGTCGTAATTTGATCAATTCAGTTGTGATTTGTTCCATTTCCTCAATTTCAGCGTTGCTCACATCTTGCTGATTCAAATCGCTCTGTGTACCAATCGCCTTTGCTTGTGCTTTTCGTTGAGCCACATCATCATACACTCTTTTATATTCAGCTGTTTCAATCTGTATATCATTCATACATTCAAACACCAATTTTATCACAACTAACACTAAAAATCGCATTTCTCTAATCTATACTTACTTTTCTTTTCGTCAAATATCTCTAAAAGTATTCAGAGTACTGATGAAACAAGCGAATTGACAGAGACGTATAATATTGAGTAAAATTAATGTGCATTCAGAAATTGATTATGATACCTGCAGTGTTGTCATTTGCTCTGATAGACGTTCACATTCATTCGCAGCCAATTCACGCTCCTTTTCACAGTCTTTGAATGCATTCTGAATACGTTTCAAATCTGCGCTCACTGCGTTAATATCAGCGTCGATTTGTGCAATCTAAAATAACTGAGAGTCATTTCTATAAATTTCACTGATCCCTTATTTCTTCACATCCACTTTAATTAACACAAAATAGTGCATTTCACCTCAAATTTTCAATGAACTTCATAAAACATAATGAGACTTTAAAGTGGAAATTAGAAGTTGGACTAGAAACAGGAAACGATGCAAAATGATTATTATAGGAACAAACACCTGTGAGGAAAGCTGGTGATGGCTTGATGAAGACGTATTAGCATCTAAATTGTGACTCTGATCTGACGCACTTCCCTTTCTTAACTCATTAGTGGGGCTCGTTTGAAGTAAATCCCGCATCGAATCCAATAATCCATGCGTTTTCAATTTCATCGACGAACAAACCTGACAAATTTTATTGCCTAATTTCAAAAAACTACTTTACGTATTAATTTTGATCAGTAAATCTCTCAACTGGCACAATATTCTCACAATCAGCAAAAAACATTTAACTTTGCGTGTGAACAATTTGGATTTAAATACAATTTTCGATCACGATTGAAAATGCTATCTTTACATGAACTAAAGTTGAAATTAGAAAATTGCAAAACTGTAAACCTAATCGCATGTTTCGATAACTCATCATACACAATGAATCTGGAAACAACCAATAAAAATTTCCTACCATTTTGCAATGACTGATTTCATCGTCTCGAGCGCGTAACGCATCGCTCAACCGTTTAATCTCCTCATTCTTATCCTGCAATTAGAGTAAATCATTAGAAAATCAAGCATCAAGGGTTTGAATTGAACATACATGAAGTACGAGACGTTGCGACTGAATCGTTGTGTGCGCATCTTCTCTCTCGGCCAATTTCGTTTTCGTATCCATTAATTCAGATTCCAATTGCGATATTTTCTGCTGATTGTCGATACTGCCAACGTTGTGCTTAAACAATTAATAAATGAGATTAAAATACATATCGAGCTGTATTCGGTGACGAATTGCACACTGCTAATGAATACCAAAAATTGAAAAAAAACTGAAAAAATTATGAATTTAATGAAACCCGTTCGAAACTCATTCGCGGTTAGACAGATATCCCAATAAAAGAGATTATAAAATGTGAAGAAGGAACATCAAAATGCACGAACGTAACTGAATGTTGATAGTGTTTCAGTGAAATGTGAAAATGATATAAATCAACGCTGAAAAGGCTAATCACTGATTGGCAAATTCGCACATCTTTCATCGTACATAATCGAAAGAATATGGCACACTTGAGAGGACGGCAGAGGATAACATTAGAAAATTCCACAAAAATTCAGTATGGATAATATCACTGATATATAACTACTGACGATCATAATAATGCTAGTATAATAATAATTTGGAAGAATGCAATCACTTACCTCTGAAGCACTTTTGCCGAAATCATCAATGATCTTTGACCCATTCGCCATTGTACAATTCATCGAACGTTCGAGCTGAGCTTTGAATCCAACTATACTATTTTCAGTAACTGAAATCGATTCATGAAAGACTTAGTCTAGCTTCATCAGTGCGACGCATACATGATT